ACTGTGCTCTTCTTCCACCAACCTTGAGAATTGTTTCAATCATTTTTTTCTTTAAGTCTGCTCTTTCACTAAAATCTAGTAAATTTCTTCACAGAGTCAGAATTCATCTTTAAGAAGTGTGTGTTCACACATGCCTTCCTCTCTGGGCTATCACTACCTTCACATCTTCAACCAGCTCTGTATGTTGGTAGTACTTAAACTCAAATGAGCAGCTTCTCCTGTTATTCTTGTGATCCTAAGAGTGAAAATAACAGCAAACTGGTCATGACGTCACAAGCTACTCAGCTTCCAGCAGAATGAATGTGAAAACATTTGACTCATCAAAACCTCCCATAGCTCCAACTTGCCTCTTCCAGTTGCTTCAGTCAGTTTCGGAAAACACCTCTAAGGCTGCCTTTCTGTCCAAGTAGGACCTAGTACAATCACAGGATGCTTCTTTTTCCTTACTTTCACCTAAATATACCTCCATGCTCCCATTTATGCTTCTGCCTTCCTTTGTGGAGACAGTAGGGAGAATGAATGGAGCCCAGGACTGAGAATTCATGAGATCCTCTTACTTATTAAGAAAAGCTTATTAAGCAAGTTGCTTCACTACTTAAGGTAAACTCTTACTTGAAAAACAAAGTATTTGGACCATGTGAGCTATAAATCTCTTACATCTTACAATACCACAGCACAGTTATTGTTGGGACCTCTTGCTTCTTGCAATCTTTTTATCTTCTTGTTGCTTCTTTTAGTCATGTGGCCCAATTCATCAAGTGGCATTATGACTGAATCTAAAATAAACTTCCACATGAAAGTTTCTACTCCTGAGGCCTAAGGATCTTATTCATTCCTTCTTCCCTTTTCATTTGAAAAAGAAAAAAAGTTACCCATCATGGGCTCATCCATCCCTTCCAGCTGTCCCAAACTTTATCTCTAGCCCAGAATCTTCTTTGCATTGCCCCCATCCTTATTCCAAGCACTGAACACCTAGCTTCAACAAGTGGTCCCAAGGGCATCTCCAACTCGATATGAGTCCCAGAGTCTTCTCCTTCCCCTGAGTGCCTTGTTTTTGTGAATGAATCTGCTCTTCTCTGTTACTTAGCACTGTATCCTACATTGTCTTTCCTCCCTCTCTTCCATATTTCTCAGAACCCATTCATTCTGCTTCTTCAGTCCAAACACCGCCTTTTGTATTGTTGCAATAGTCTAACCAGGTTTCCCCTTCAACTTCTCCCCAACTACACAATGCGGCTATGTTCAACTTTCAAAAATGGGATTTTAACTGTTATTTTTCTTCCTGAAAACTTTTCATTGTTTATTATCTCAAAAAAAAAAAATTCCAAGCCCCTTGTCATGGAAATTCAAGAGTGTCCATTAGCAATCTGCCCTTTTCCTGTAATTCTTAGTTTATTGCATGCTACTCTATATAACAATTTAGATTCCATATTTGCTGTTCCAAATAATGTCTACTTGTTGTTGTTGTTGTTGTTGTTTTAAGACAGGGTCTAACTCTATAGCCCTGGCTACCAAGTAATGCAGTGTGTTGACCAAGCTGTGCTCAAACTCACAGAGATCTTCCTGTCTCTGCCTCCCAAATACTAGGATTGAAGACATGTGCCATTATATATAGCTTGGCAGGATTTGGGGGCGGGGGGGTTGTTTAGTTGGTTTTGTTTGTTTTTCTTGTTTTAGACAAGGTTTCTCTGTGTAGCCCTGGCTGTCCTAGAACTCACTATGTAGACCAGGCTGGACTCAGACTCACAGAGATCCACCTTCCTCTGCTTCCTGAGTGTTGGGAATAAGGTCACCCACCACTACACCCTGCTTAGTTTTGTTTTTTTTTTTTAATATGGGTTCTGGAGTTCAAACTCAGGTCATCAGGCTTGCACACCAAATACTTTTGTCCACTGAACTACCTTTCAATAGTTTCGAAACACTGTAAAATCCTAATGATATGAATATTACATTTGCACATAAGTATCTAAGAATGGGATAAATTAATAATAAATAACTTAATACAAATCCTGCTTGGAAGAATCGATCATATATTAATATTACTGATCAATAATTAATCAACATCTCCACAATACATTCTTAAATGTTGTACTTACTTTTGTCAAGTATGAGATGGGATAATATCATTGCATACTACACGGTCCACATAACTTTCAATTGCACAAAGTTAAATACATTAATTTTCAAAATAAGTGGTAGTCTTTTCTAGAATTGGAATTTGTGGCTTTCATCTGCTGAAATGAGCTAAGCAGCCAAAAATCCAGGCAGTTGCTCATTGAACAAAAGTCTAATTGAACAAGAAGTCTAATTGTACAGTGATGAAGTAATCAACAATAAAAGTCACTCGTAATAGTCATAATAATAAAGGCTGGGCATGCCAAGTCTCCTGCTAGGGAAACTGGGGGAAGCCAGGGGGAGCATTTCAAATCTATTTGTTTCATACCTGGTTGGAGAGGTTCTAGCTGGCTGGTAACCTTTGGTATAGTAGCAGGACAACAACATATAAAACTTAAAGTCGATTCACAGTTTATTTGGCAATATTGAAACTAAATTATTCCCAGAGTATTTTTCAGTAACGCATATATATTACTATCAAACTTAGCAAAGGAATAATAATCTACTGCTGACTAATACCTTATAAGAAAAAAAAAAACACTCCTATCTTAAAATAGGATCATGCCTATAACATTATAAAATTACCTTCCCACCTCCCTGGACTTATGGGAGAGAGGCATCACATTGCCTCCAAGTGACAAAACACTGGTATTCCTAAGCAACACTTGCATAATCCCTGTGTTGTCAAAACACTTTAGAGGTCCCGCCTCTACCCATAGCTTCCACTGCTTGATTACTAACCCCAACAGAAAATCAGCACAAACTGGCAGCCAGCGAGAGTGGGGAGGTATTGCTGGGTTTGGCAGAAACTGAATCGTGCATCCTGTGCACCTCTGTGTGAGCTACTCCTGGAGGAGTGTGGGGAGCACCACCCCTAAGGAACTACACTTATGACAGGTCCCACTTCTGGCCATCTGTCCTCAGGCTGCCTCCAAACCTCAGGGCTTCAAGATGCAGAGAGAAAAGAGAGACAGTGGAGCTTGCTTGAGGAATTTCCTACCTAAGAAAATGCTACAATGATTTGGTTAACTTAGTAGTTATGAAAATCTGAATAGTTAACCTACCTAGACGTCCATTTTGTGAAAAGAAAATCATTATGGTATATCTTTGTTATTATAACTTATTAAGTGAAATAATGCTTCTAAGTCACTTTACAAAATATTTGGCACAAACAAAATGCTGCTAATATTTGCTCAATGACCATAGATAATTGGCTCACAAAGGTTTACAGAATTTTGTGACCAATGACTAGATTGCATTTCCCCAAAAAAACTAAAATTTTAAAAACTGATTCTAAGACCCAACTTTGTTTGTTGCCTACTTGTTTTTTCCCCAAAGAACTATTTATAAAAATTTAAAAAGCAATGTTGATGAAGTCATGTATTCTTCCCACACACAAAGGGAAGCCCAGCACAACAGCTGGGAACGGCATGTTGTTTTTCTTCAACAAATGTACCTGAACTTACACATCAAAAAAGAAGAGTTTTAATCTTCAAAGGGATGGCCTCAGGAAGCTGTGTACTTTCAATAATGGGGCCAAATATTTTCATAATCTCCCTTCTGCATTAGCTCCTGATGTGGCCTCAGATTCTTTCAGGTGTTTTTTGTTGGCAACAAAATTTTATGCACTGAGAATTTTCAGTTATGAAAGCAAATTTAAGATGTGAATAAGAAGGAGAATAATATCATAATAATATCATCTTGGGGTTTTTTTGGGGGGAGGGTGGAATTTTTGTTTGGTTTTGGTTTTGGTTGGTTGGTTGGTTTTTACTTGGGTTTTTTTTGGGGGGAGGGTGGAATTTTTGTTTGGTTTTGGTTTTGGTTGGTTGGTTGGTTTTTAATGAGAAAATGAGACTTTTTTTTTCTTTTAACTTGGATAGTCAAATATATTGATTCCATCCAGTGCATCTCTAGGGCATTTAGGATCAATAGAAGCACTGTCAGCATGAGCCGGTTGCTTTCTGTTTAAAGGCTAAGTTATGTAGTTATTTATTGAATTTCACTAAACAGACACCTCTTGAGCACTGAGAGCTTTCACAGGTACTAGTTTATCCTGTGTTCATGTCTTACAAGTAGGTACTTTCTGTTTCCCCATTTCACAGTCAAGGTCATTGAGGTACCATGGAATTTTATCTAATGACAGGGAGCAGATAAATGGAAGAGTCAGAAACCAATGCAGGCTGCCCGTTTAGCGTCTATACTGTTTTCCAGAGAACAGAAGCTGTCAGCAGTAACGATCTGCTCTTCTGTTCTGGGACAGAATGTAATGTTGTTTAATTGCTTCATTCGTTGGCTCATTCATTGAGGTACTGTGTTTAAATTGGGTGAAAAATATATCTTGCCATGAATTATTATTTTTCACCTCAGCTAATGGAGAGTAACATTATCTAGGCTCCCTTTCTGCATTGTCTTGCCTGTTACACCAGAGGAAGCTGCCCCACTCTCAGCTTCCTCACTCTCTGAGGATCTGGCCCGGCTATCTTTCCTGTTTTCCACATGTGTAGGCCTTTCACCCAGCAATGTCTTCAACCTGTGCCAGGAGCAGTCTCCTCCTGCCTGTTGCAAAACTCCCTCCTTAAAACTCACCTTTTTTCATTACCTCAGTCTATATCACCAACCTGAAGAAGAAGGGAGAAACAGGGCAAAGAGAAAGAAAGATGGTGAAACACATTTTTGTGTTATTTTCCTTAAGTTGAATCTTTTTTGTCACTGCCCCCACGGCCACCAACTTTTCTCTCCTTTGTTGTCAAACACAAGTTTCCAGGGTGGCTTCTTACCACAGCCAACAATATATTGCTGCCTATCCCTTCAGACGTCATGCTCCAGATCTCATTCCTGTGTAAACTTTTAAAATTAATTGTGCTTGAACTTTTCTTTAATTTCAGGATAAAAGAAAAATACAGGAAGAAATCTCACAGAAGCGTCTGAAAATAGAGGAAGAAAAATTGAAACACCAACACCTAAAGGTAACTTCTGACTTCTGTTTTCTTTCATTGGTTTTATGTTCAAATAGCCTGACAGCATTTACGAGCCCACCACCATAAAGATGCTTTAGGAGAGAAAGGCTTCCCAGGTTTAGCTCAACCACCATTCCAATCACCCGAGAAGAGGCCAGTGAGCCACCGATAATTGCATCTGAGATTAATACCTTTTGGCAAACCTGAGGAAAGTTGGGAACATGGTTTTACTGCGTCTATGATTGAGTTCAGAGTTGCCAAATCTTACTCAGTAACCTTGAGAAGTCAGCCTTGAGAATTTGGCCCCCGTGCAGCCTTGCTTAACATCCCTAGGGAGTGGATCCAGCTAGGAAGTTCCTTTTGAAATCAATGAAAGGCCAGCCCTTCCCCAGAGGCTGATGCAGAGCAGACAGTGTCTGGCCTGGTCAAGGATGCTTGTGTTCCCTGTAATGAGTCCAGTGTTGTTTGCATATGGTTGGGTTTCTATTTTATTTTGTTTTGACAGAACATGAGATCATAACTATAAATAAATCTCCATTTGAAAACTCAGACTTTACGTCTTCCACAGGGTGTGGCCATTTTGTAATAAAGCACATAGGGTTTCAACATTGTATGACGTAGTTTGGTCGGAGGATCCAAGTAAAGGACAAACAGAAACTCCTTGTGAATAGGCCCAAGCAGGAAACTGTTCTTATCTAGCAGGGGTGCTATCAATAGATTGAATGAATTCCCTCAATGAACAATGCCACACAGTCATAAAATCTCCCAACTTTAACTTGCCAGATTCAGATAAATCCATTTTTCTAATGGAAAAAAATATTGCCCTATGTTAGGCACATAATTCAGGATTCTGGTTAACCTCTGTCCTCTGGATTCTGTTGACTACTGTGCTCCTATCAAAAGAGACTTTTACACTGATGGATGGCTGAAAGCCATAGTTAATCTGCTGTTCTTACAAAATATCATGCTGAATTTATGTTGAGTAGCAGACACACTCAAGAAATACAGCATGTTAGGTGAAGGCAATACCACTAGGGAAGAGGGGGGAATATGGAGAAACAAGGAGGAGAATAGAATTGGGGTGCATGATGTGAAACCCCCC